TAAATGCGGCAGAGAAAAAGGTAAATGCGTGTAAATTTCAAAAGTTTCGGGTTGGGTTTTTTTTCTTTTCTTGTTGTATTTGAGAAAATCGATGGGGGGTTAGTTTTTCTCTATTATTCTTTACCAAAAATCAAGAGGCAAAATTAAAATAGCTGTACAGCTGTGACTGGGACACATATACTGAAAGGTATCTGTTGTTCCAGGAAAACTTTAACTCACACTTAAAGCAAGCTGCGTCTCCCCACACAAGTTACTGCTGCAAGGGAGTCCCCCCATCTGGTATCCAAGCGATCACAACACCAGCTTCAGGTAATGGGGGGAAAAAAACCAAACAAACAAACCAACCACACATCACATAACTAAGTATTGCCAACTTCAACTTTAATAATGGAACCATCACTTTTTTGCCATTTCGGTAATAACTTTAAGGGGAATAAAAACTTCCCTACAAAAATAAAACTAAGCTTGTCAAAATTATAAATAGTTTAAATGTTTGCTTTTAAAGACATACATTTTCATGTTTCCCCTGCATTCCCCCTCCCCCCTCCCCATATCATTTAATCATCCTGGTACCATCATATAATGATATGAAAACAGCTTTGCAACAAAAGCTTTGACAGTTCAATTTGATGCTAAAATTTAAAACGAGGAAAACTGACTAGGCATAACCATTTCTTTTAAATTAAAAGCTACTGTAATTGCCATTGTGTAAAAAAAAAAAAAAAAACAAAAAACAAAAAAAAAAAGAAAAAATTAACCCCACACATGACACCTTATAATAATTAACTGTGAACTAAGACAAAATTAAAGTATAAGTTTATTTTGGTCCCCCACCCTCCCTCCCCTTCACCCCAAATCAAGACTCATAGTGCATACAACACTGATTGAGGTTTTTGGCTAAAGTAAATGCAGATGCCTTAAAAGACTACTTAAAAGACTGATAGTTTAGTTCAAGTAAAAACAAAATTCACATATTTTTATACTCCTCTTTTAGACTCAAACAGTGTTTAAAACTGAGCAACCCATGGTTCAATATTGACAGCGATTATGTAATGGTTACATAGTAATGGGCAGATATATAAATTAAGTAGATGTTAACAGAAGACCCACCAACATGCTGCTGCATTCATAGAAAAACAAATTATAACAAACATAAAAGCATTCCCTGAACCATTATAAAGTGTCTCACTTGAGGATAATGTTACTAACTCACACATGCACTACAATGTTACATGTGAAATTAAACAACAAACAAGATATGCCTTATATATACTTTATAGTTAGTCCTACTCTTAATTTCTCTTAACACTTTAAAACATTATGATTGTCTCATTAAGTTTGCAAATTCTTTTTACCAAAAAAACCTGTGAAGAGTTTTTTTAAAAAAGTCCTACTAAGGAAAGGAAACAAAGGCACAACTACATCAAATTGAGGGGAAGAACAGAAGCATCTTGGAGTTTCACACAGTATCCATTAGATGTCACCAAAGTTTTAACAATTCCTTGGGAATTTAAAAAGAAACACCCTAAGAGTGGAGGGAAAAAAAACCCACCAACTTCTGCTGCTCTTAAATTGTTAGCACTCCTCCACCCCACCCCACCCCCCGCCCCCAATATATAACTCATTTCCTCTCTGGCATGATAATGACTAAAAGTATCAGTTACTCAAATCTGCCTCATGCTTCTATTGCACACCCACTTCTTTGGTTTCTTTTGAACGTGCTTCTTTAGATAAATAACTCTGAAAGAACAACAATTATATTTACAGTAAAGTAAAAAGTTTTCTTGCTACATTTTTCCTACTTTTAAATCAAGTAAATCAGCAGTCTGCAGAATTTGGTAATCAGTTTTTCAATTAAGAATTTAAAAACCATAAGGAAAACACCTTCTGAATTACTAAAAGCAAGTTACTAAGCTCAGCCACCAACACAGCCAATAAATATTAATTTTCTGCTAAGCTGGAAACATAAATAAGAAATTCTACTTTCTTTGCCTAACTGAGCCTTTAAAAAAAAAAAAACACAAAGAAGCAGAGGAAGCTATTTTTGTCTTTTAGATATGATAATTCAAAATTACCCAGCCTGAAAATGGATCGCTGAGCCAGAGGGAAGATCTGACTTACAACAAAGACCAAATGCATCTGTAGTTATGGCTTATGTCTAAACCCTTGCTAGATGGGCATTTCTCACAGTTATGCAAGACACAGTCCACTTTTCAGAATTCAAGTAAGCACCCACCTTTTAGCTCTGCTGCACTTTTCAACCCCCCACTACACATTTATGGAACCAGCTTCTCCAACAACAACTTGTATGTGCAGCTCCATTTCCATTCTTATTTAGCTTTTGCTTCTCATTCCTTCCCATTACTACCATTATCTTTATTTCTTTTCCAGTGTGGATTTATGCAGTTAAAAAACCATAAAACTTATTCACAATATTATAACATCCTAAAACTTTAATCTTGTAGAATTAGTATTTTAACTTTGCTCCGTATAAATACTATTTCCATTTAAAACCAGTCCTCCTCTGTCAGCTGAGTTCTCCCTCAACTCTTACCTTCTTTTCAACTTTCTCTTTACCTTCTCCAGAAAGACCACTTTAAAGCCTTCCACAAATTTCACAGAACAAGCCACAAGATCTCATATTCCTTCCATCTATAACAGTTCTCTCACAAATTATACAGTAACTATTTTGAAAACAGAAAGGTAGTGCAAATCAATTTCATCTCAAAGATAGTGCTCCAAATAATTCCTGTCCAGATGGTTTTATTCATTTTTTTAACCCATCAATTTGCACATCCTTACTTGTAAAGCTACCATTAAAGCAAAGAAAAAAATATAAAAAAATCTTATTTCATAGCATCCTAGAAAATTGATTACAGTTTCACAGCTTGCACCAAGATAACTTGGAAAACTCTCTAGGCACACAGAGGGTTGCAAACTGATGTACAAACATGCAGAATCCCTTACGTGTGGATGCAAGATGCTAAGTGACCTGGCTTATGGAACTAAGTCTATAGCAAAATTCAGGTACCCTGGCATCACAAAACAGTCTTCCGAATAAAGAAAACTACTCTCTGCTGCTCTTTGTACGTTGGGTTTGGCATGCTATACAGACGTTTGGTAGCGTGCATTTTTCCTGAGTGTCCTTTGGCCCCCTTTTAACCAGGTTTCCACACCCCACCAAGGGCTTCTTCAAGTTTGTCTCTGTAAGCTGCATAACGCTTCTTTAAGATTTGCAGTTGCTCGTTTTCCTCTTTATCCAGTATACGCAAGAAGTTCTGCAGTTCAGGAATAGTAAAAGCTTCCCACTGGAAAGAGAAAAGGATGGGCAAGATGAATAGAAAACACACAAATAACTTATATACACAGTATTTTTAAACAAAACCTCAGACATTCAAAACAATTTGAAATTGAAACAGTACCAGGCACCCTCCTTGCAAATCTCAGGGATCTGAAAACATTTTACTCTTTTAAAATGGTTTTTGTTCTGCAAGTAACAACAGATCAGTCTAAACATAACCGAAATGTTTACAGAAGGCACACAGTAAATATAACAAGAAAAAAAAAAATCTGCTTCCAAAAAATGGATCATCTTGTCAACACAGATCAAACAGAAGCCCACTCATCCATGAAGTGAAATAAACACACAAAACCAGCATGCGCGTAACATACCATAACTTCCCCAGTTTCATGCTCACGTAGAACAAAACTGAGCATTTCTGTTCTGGGGCCTGCCACCAAACGCAGGTAGAGGGGATGTTCTCGGTCTGACAGCTTGCATGTATAAACTGCAGGAGAGGAAATCACAGTAATTACCACCTTTAATAATGATGTTCCAAGTGCTTTGAATGATTAACACTAGCTAATGTTAGAAAATCTCAGATACACGCACGTGTAGCCACAAAACTGACACACTCTACATATTAGTCTACATACTGGTTCTGAGCAAATGAGTTTTAGGGAGAAGCCGAGCAGGTGACTGATGGTAACAGTGCAACACTACATTCACACAGGCATGAAATGGCCTCTAGTCACCACAGTACACCACCTGAACACATGCAGGGGCAAAAGCACAAGAAAAATACGACACAGGTCTGCTGCTATAACTAAGCATTTAAGATGTCGGAGCTGTGGTATCAACTGTTCCGATACCTTCTCCCCTTAAAATCTCATACACAAAGTCTAAGAGACAACTCTGCCTGCCTGACACGGTTGGTGTGACTGACAGCCAGAAACATCTGAACTCCTGAAACTGCTCTCAGTGTCCACGGAAGAAGGCGGATTCTAAGTGCAAGAACACAATGTTGGCAAAACGTGCTTTTCACTAAAAACAGCTTCTGCATCTTCTTGTACTTCCCAACACAACATACCACAAACTTTTAATAGCAGGCAGCGCACTGGGAGAGCCATGTGTACTAACACAGGTGAACACAGTGCACGTGCCCACCATGCTCATCACCTCAACAGCTCTGTCAATGTGAGGGCTTCAGGTATCTCAGACAACATGGTTTCTCTTTTTAAAAATTGGTCCTGTAATTTAATCTCACAAATCTGCAGTGTATCAGGCTATCTGAAATTTAGAGCCCGTTAAGGGGGCATCTTAAATAAAATATAATGGACCACAAAGCACAGGCGATCTGCGTAGATGGTTTGGTGGTTTATCTTTTGTGAATGATCCTAAAATATCCCCAACTCTCTTACAGATGCTACTTTTCACAAAGAAAAGACGACGATAGAGCGCAAGACTGTCACCTCCATTTATCCGAGTTCTTCCACCCTGTTAATTTCAAGCACTCCTGCAGCACTCCTCCCTCCCCAAGCCCCCGTAACTACCAAAACGCCGCAAGCCTAACTTATACCTTGGTCTTCCTTGTGACAGCGTTTATAAAGTGCAAACTTCGCAGGGTTGTCAGCCACAAAAAACTTCTTGAGCAAGGCCTCAATAACTTCCCGAACAGTATTGGTGCTGCTGATGTGAAGGGTATTCACGCAACCCTCCGGCAAGTAAAAAGCAGTTTCATTATTGCTGTGAGCACACCTCCCCTGGCTCTGGGAAGACTGCACAGTGATCGGTCTGCATAGTTCCATCTGAACTTTGATGAAGCCAGTGTAAATCCCGTTCGCGTTCTGCATCAGGAGGAAAGTATCAAACTGTTAAAATTAGCAATGGACCGGTTGTGACACATTAGAGGATTAGGCAGATTAAAATGGTCACAGTGAACACAGTTTAAATGCCACTGTAATACGTGACATCTCATAGGAAAGACACTGTTTCAATAATTCAGACATTTATTCTTTCTGGTTATTTCTGCTTAATATTTATTTCTTCTTAATTGTAACTACTGAACTTAAGAGTATTAGGCTCTCATCCACAAAAGGTACTACAGACTAGTGTAAGTTTTCACATTAGGAAAGATCTATGAAGTAAACAGACTGCTAACACCTATCTTTAACAGATTTTTATGCACAAATACAGAAATTATCTCCCACATATTAGCTGTGCTTGTCAAATTAGTCTAAAGCATTTAGATGCTCAAATCCTGCTGCAATTCAAAAAGAACCAGAATAAATGCCAAGCTAATAAACATTTCAAATTATTTATTCCAGTTGCTTCTGAAAGGCAAAATAGTAAAACTGATCAAGCCTTACTGAGATAGAAAACTTCAGGCAATCTGGTTTTAGCCATAGTAAGTCCAACCCACATGCAAACATTTAAAAAAAAAAAATAACCTCTTTAGTACATAGTTGTACTTATATGATTTAGGATATAATGGAATTTTGAAATTTCCATATACTGTACACCCACAGGAATACATAATGTATCAGAAAAACTTGGACAACGCGACAACTGAAAAACAGCTTGCTAGGCAGACAGATGCAAACCTTGTTAGTGTGCTCTGCAGTAGGCTGGACTGAGTCTTAGACCTGGTTCACAGTCCTTGGGAATGAAAAAAATCTATATGCATTCCACCGTCTGTGTTACAGGGGGAAGGAAGTCTCCTCATGCAGAAAACCTGTGTGACTACAAATTAAGTCTCCCCATAATAACAACTATTGCATGTTTTAACTTTTCTCATTGGTTGAGCATCTTTTATCAGAGAGGTACCTGACAAAATTTTATCTACACAAACAGGATAAATATATCTTCATGTTTACCAGCTCATGGTTTTCATCTGACAAATGTACATCTTAGCATCAACTGAGGGTTTATCTTAAACGCATTTCAAACGACATTTTTTTTCTCCTACAGTTTGTTTCAATCCATATAAAGAGAGCTACATGGATAAGAACATTTCAGATGTGATAATTAATTTCCAGATCTAAGAAAGAGCCTCTTCCAAAGTCATTAAAACAGAGATAGCTTCATATGTAAGATGCTGAGACTAAAATGATTCACAATGCACTGCAAAGTTGTAACTGCTCCTATTAAAAGTTACAGGAATCCGATGGAAAACTTACCAAGGTCATCTTTAATTTATCAGTGACAGATGAATTATAGCTTTGTATCTTCTCTTTAACTTCTTCTTTACTGAGATAAACATGAGGTTCTCTCTCCTTCTCATCATCCTTCAACAAAAACAGAGACAGCAGTTTTAGAAAACAAAATAAAAACCAATTCTTTCATGACTTTGGATATGAGCATTCTTAGCCCAAATGGTAATTATTCCACAGAGGCTCAACATGCAGTAATTTGCTGTACAGCAAGAGAAAGGAATAACAAGTTAGGCAAATCAAACCTAGAACCCTCGGACTGAATGGAGACAGTTAAATCAACACACCCAAAGACACTTGTGTCCTTTTCCTGCCAATTGTTTTCATTCAAATATTTATCAGCAGTATGTAAAACAGCTCAGCTCATTTTATGGCTGGATTTCCTCATGTCAATGCTATGCAATATTGTTAAGAATGCGGTTACAATTTTCATGAAATGTTACTTAGGGCACAAACGGGTATTTCTACACAAATGAAGAATACCTATGAAAACAGCAGCACACACTAACAAGCGACACCAACAATCCCCGTGTGTGCCAACAACCTAAGAGCATCCCTGCGTTCCAACGCGACAGACAGCACGTTACGCACAGGGTCACCGACTACTACGTGAACAAGTAACTCTCTAGCTATATAATGTTACACCAAATTAGTATTTTTTTTCCATGGGGAAGGCCCTGTTAGATTTTTCAACTGCTGCTTTTACAAGCTTGCTACGGATTTTACATCCATCAGTAAAAACCAGTCCCTGGAGTTGCATTTTATCCAAACAAGCATTTGTTCCCAATCCATATTCCTGCAGCAAACTAGCATTATAAATACACTCCAGTTTCCACCACTCGCACAAATGCCATATATAGTATGAAAGAGTTTCAGCTCTCAGCTTTAATGATTAAAACTTCACTTTGACAGGAAGAAGCTTTGAAGGAGCTTGCAGCCTTCAGGGTACATCTGAACACAGGAATATACATCCACGGTATGGACGAACCATCAAGTCGCGGTGTTCCAGCCTGCCCTCAACAAGCACAGCCCAGTGGAGCTTCTCCTAAGAAAGGATCTCCCTGACTTCGGCGGCCAGTTCTGTATCACAGTTTTTTGGACACCACTCGGCACGCACCTTTCAGGCACTCCAGTTTGCCAGAAACGACCCCAAAGATGAGCACATCTGGTGTGGAACTGTAAGTTTCCATTTGCCAGAAAGAATCTGCAGAATTTTTTCTGTCTCCTAATTTAAAACTTCTAGTTTTAGCTCTTTGGGGCTTAGTTTTGCTTTTCCTATATGGTATTTTACTAAATGACATGCTGGAGCAGACTTTTTTCCCATGCTATAAAAAGAAAGGTGTGGTCTGAATGGAGAACTGGAAGCCAAAGCCTTCAATTCTGATCTGGGCTCAGATACTGATTTCCTGCATAACAGAGAGAACATACCTTTATTTCACAGATCAGGAAACCGAGGCAGAAAGGAACACTAGCCAAATACAAGTCTATTAGCTCCTTAAGCACAACTCTAAGACGGTGTAGAATCTTGCACAGTTTCCAGACCCCACCTAGTCTATTACAAAATACCAAATTACTAAATGTTTTCAGAATCCAAGTCTCCACTCTCACTAGAGACAGTAAGCTTTCTTGCCCTTACTATTTTTCAACTTTCCCCTCTCTCGAACTGCCGTATCAACAACAGATAGGGCTTCATCTAAACTTCTCACTTCATCTCCCCCGAGGCCCTTACAGCTTTTGTAGTGTTCTATTTGGGGGCAAATGTATAGTTATAAAACAAAGCAGGCACGGGGGCGGGGGGAATAATCATCTAAGAAATAACTTTTTCTCTGAAATCGAAGTAAGTGTTACCGCTGTTTTCATGCTTAAAACACATATCAAAAGCAATGACCCATAGTGAGAATCTGGAAATACAGGCACTCTAAACCTTGACTTCAAATAATGTTGTGGGAGTGGGCCCAGGCAACCCTAGCACTGGATACTGAAGGGACATGGAATAGTCTGCAGCCCACTGGCCATAAAGGTCAGACGAAGCATTTGCCACCTATATGACTGAATTCAAGAATCCAAGCTTTAACTTGGAACGTTCCTAGCCTGCATAGCTGCAGACAAGCCCTTTCACGTGGATACCAGCCAAGACTCATCTCTGAGACATGAGCATGTTGTGGGGTTCCTACCTCCCCAGTCTGCTAACAGTACTGATACGGAACTTCCAATAATGGACACCTGTTCCAATATTCATCATTATTCTGTTGCTTGGTGGGTCAAGCAGGTACCTCTTATCTACCCTGTTAGAACTGATTAGCATAACATCCACTATTATCAAGAGAAAACACTAACAAGAACCTTTCCTATCTTCAACCCTCAACCTTTGTTTAAATAAACTCATACCCCCAAGAAACTTCACATTAACTTCTGTGCACCTCAAGAGATTTAGTTTCACAAAAATTACTTTTAATAACCGCAGACGACAAAGAACCTATTGCCTTTAATTCCATAGGCTAAGTTCACAGGGCTGACAGCTAGAAAACAACCTGTCTACATTACATTAACAAAAAGAGAAAAAATGCAGTAAACAAATTAGTAAGCATGAACAGACAGCAAGAAACAACTTTCTCCTATTTTCATATAGGAGAGTTTTCACGTACATTTCTGATCTCCCAAGAAGTCACATTTTTTCCTGCAAAGTGACAGAAATTTCGTTTGGTTAGAAAAGAGACAACCCCATGAGATCACTCTAGTCCTGTGGACTGCCATGGAACCAGGCATGATGAGCAACATCCAAGCATAGCACCTAAGCAAGATTAATTTCTGCTGGACTCAGTCTGCTGGTGCGTTACAGTCAGGTCTGTAATGTGCACTGGAGACTAGAGAGTTCAGAGTAATGCCAGTCGTCTTGGGTGAGGCTCCACTACAGAGCTGTGGATCACTGGGCATCACCAGGTGAGTCATCATTCCCTCACTGAGTTAGACATGATTCCCTTCTTGAGCATGCCACTGGCATTTCCGCCTTTTTGCATCGGCACTAGAGGCCAGGCAATTTTGGCAAAGTTTAATTCAGCACACAGAAAATGCAGAGCCCCATTTATGCAAAACCTGAGATGCAAAACTTCCTTCTGTAGCGTACTGCCAACAAATGTAGCTGTAACTTGTTTTCTAAACAACCAAAGCCTGTGCCTCAATTAATTTTAACAGCATATATTATGCAAAACTGTGAACTGCATACAAAAAAGGACTGCTAGGATTAAAACATTAAAGAATAGACCCAAATCCATTCAAGAAAAACATTATGCACAGTAGACAGAAATGCTGTTTATGCCAATTATAATTTTCACACTCCAGTCCACCATTCTTGATCACGAGACAGCGAGCAGTGGAAGATACCGGTCACAGGAAAGGAAATATGACTGAAAGAAACTTCAGCCCAAGATCTTAATGAATTAATCTGGAGACACTCTCCCGCTCCCAAACAAAAGCTCAAAACACTCCAACTGCACACACATCAGGGCACATCACTTCAACCAAGCAAACAAAACCTCGCTAGCTAGACACCGGTGCCTACAGAAAGTCACACTGCTGTCACACAGGCTGCAGAGGCAGTAAAGCCCACATGACTGCTGTCAGGAGAAAGCCAACAAAGGAATACCTCACTGAGTTTATTACGAACAAGAAAGCCTCAGCCCACTATGATTCACAGGGTCAGCTGCTCTCAGGGAGAATCATTAAGTAGCACACACAGATTTGAGGCACCTGTGTATTTTAATTTTCCTAATTACACTCAACCAACCTGCAAAGAGCAGCTGACAAGATGGCATACAGGTTTTTTTCCCCAACTTCCCTGGAGCTGAAATTGCTATCAGTCCACAGCAGCACTTAACTTTTGCTATATGGCTTTGTCTAGCCATGCTTTAAGTTAAAATACGTAAGTAGTCTTTGACCAATGTACTTCGGTGGGTGGAGGAAGACTTGGCAAACTCACTTCCCACAATTCTCTTACTTCTTTCTGTACTTGTTACCTCCTAACAGGACCCACTAACAGAAAAGTCCTCTGCTAATTCTACTTCGGTCCAGCAGACCAAATTCCACTTTGTTATCTCAGCAAGTAAATTTATTACGTGTAGGAGACCTTAAGTCATCCAATACAAAAGCAGAGTAACAGCAGTAATTAACTCATCTCTGCCATGCGTTACAATATGCTCATATCAGGCCACCAAGTGGTGGAAGCCACACCTGCTCAGGGTGGGACTACTGGAAAGCAATTACTCCAGCCTCAGCTGGAGTTTGTTTTAAACAAAGCAGAAAGGGCATTTCCGAGGTGAGATTTAGATGTTACAGCCAAGTACGTCCATCATCAATTCTTGTGACAGTTCTGCCCAGTCTGTTGAGAGAAGAGCCAGTCTGTGTCACCTGGTGGCTCACCCAGCCCAGGACAAAAGCTGCTTTTTCTACCGTGGCCCTCCCGTGCCCCCCAGGCGTGCTCGGCAACCCCTGGCACAGCTCCCGGGGGCACGAGGGGCAGCACGCTCCAGCCAGCCAATTCGTCCCTAGCCCGATTCAGACACAGCCGATTCATCTCCAGCTCCCTAACAAAAGGCCCAGCATGCATGCCTCGCAAAGTTTGTATGCTGGGAATTGTGAAACCGCCTTTCTTCAACAGTTAGGCCTGGCGATGAGTTTCCTAACCACAAACCCTTGCGCGTGTCACAGCAGCAGAGCGAAGTACAGGCGCAGTCGGCAGAACAGTTCACACTTGCTTCTTCTGTCAGCCAAGGCCCTAGATGCTGCTGGGCTTAGCAATGGCACTTCTGGGTGCTAGTGTTCAAAAAAGGAATTTGCCTTATAAAAACAATGCACAAACATTTCAGTGTTATTTTTGTCAAAGAAAAAAAAATAAAGAGAAATCAAACCTGAGTTAGGTGTGACGCCTCCATCACTTTGCCAAGTGATTTTCTCAGTAATGGCTGCCACGTCATCACCTCTTCCCTCCTCCCAGCCCAATTAACTGTGTTTTCCTCATCAGAGCTCCTGGTCTCCTTCCATTCCCCACTTCTCATGTTATCTACTACTTCCTCAGTCTA